CCCATTAGTTTTGCACCTACCTGATAAATTAGTCGTATCCTTATGTATGTATGTATGTTATCCTTATGTCCTTATGTAACTTATTAGCTGCTGCACGTCGAGACTAAGTTTTTTTGTTAGCGTGGTAAACAGCTGCCTATTGTACAGTACCGCCCACTGTAATGAGTAAAAAAAATCGCAGCACTGTGCCAGGGTTCACCGCAATACGCGTCGCAATGTCTTCGGATTCCAAATTCATCCGCTCCGAATCAAGATATTGCAATGCGACGGATTGCGGCGACATTTTTGACTATCATGAGCGGTATTGTAAATCTGACCAGTTTTCTTACGAAAAAAGCAAGAGCAGGATGTTTTTGCCTTGCGAATTTTCTGTAGCCCTGTTTTAGACCTTGATTGGGATTTTTGCCTGAGCATACCTCACGCGATTTCAGTCGCGACGCGATTTGGTAGTACTCCAATTGTGCATAACTCCTCATAAGGGGTTTCTGAATGTATAGGGCATTTTCTCAACCTATGAAATTTGTACATGCTGTATTTGAAGTCTACCAGTATTGATTTTGAAGACATTCGGCAAATTGCCAGATCGCGTGGCGACTGAAATCGCTTGAGTTATGTCCATGACCTTAAAAACTTTCATTTACGCGACAGTCGATTTTTGGCTGCATAAACTTTTACATCTTTAGTTTTGAGCCGAGTATGCAAACTGCATAGTAAGAATCAGCGCTACTTTGCTCTCATTTTCTATCAATCATATTCCAAGCTGCGAAGATAACTGCAGTTATTTATTGTTTTCGCCAATCACCAAAAGAAGGTCATTTCTCAGCACGAGTGAGTGGGATTTTTGCCTGTATTTGTAAGGGTATGATAGTAACTGTTTATGAATTTTTGACCTACCTGCAGCTAGAGTTTTCCTTTTAGGGACTAGTTATCGATGACGATGAATTTGGAATTGACATTATCGCTATGTTCGTGCGATTATGATAAGCCGATCTTCGTATATGTTGAGTCTCGTTAAGCAAAACTAATTTTTAAGTGATTTATTGGTACAAAACCCTCCATTCGTATTTACACTGTGAAGTGGCGTGCGAAACCTGCGTCTCATACGAAGCAACACGCGCACGGTCAAACCAGACGCGAAATTGAGGTCGTCGCTTTGATTAGCAATCAGATCCAACGCTGAGTGAAATCTGTGCGGATACTCGTACTGTATGAGCGACAAGTTTTTGTACAAAAATTGTATAGTTGGACTAATTTGGCAATTTTATTTTGAGTGGATCAACATGCTTTTTGAATAATCGCGAGTTTCAAATTTCCTGTTTCCCTTTTGTTTTCTGTTTTTTTGCAGAAGCTTTTACAATGGTTTGATGACTAATTAATTGTCCTAGCTTCAGGGAAAGGAAAGAAAGTGGTCAGACTGATTGTTTAATTTAGTTCTTAATCAAAAGATCAGTTTATCTTAACCCACCGTCTCAGTTTAGTCCAAAAATCCAAAAATTCTAAATAGTGATAAAAGCTAGACACATCAGTTCTGACGGCGAATATTCATCTTTATATTGTAATTCATAACCGAGATTGTTAAATACCATACTGGCAAACCTTTCGACAGATCGTCATTGTACTATCTTCTTCAGAGCCTCCTGAAATGGATAGTACAACCTACAATCCATTCGATAACGTGTCTGCAACAAACTGTGCTGCAGAGACGCTTAGTCAGCTAAATCTCAAGACTTAGGTTCGATTACTAACTCAGCTAGTAGTAGTTAGCCAAACACTAACAACAAAAACTAACAGCTAGTTATTCAGCAAAAATTTTCTCTTAAGTTTCAAATCACTGCTTAATTTTCGCGAAATCAGTCAATTCGTCCGCTAAATATTATTCCGATAGGTCTGTGTTAGCTTCGATGCAATAATGCTGGCCAGAGATTTCGTTTAGGATAGGTTTGCACTTGTTAAATGATGTCCTCTGCACAAAGTTCTGATTTGTGATCGAAGCTGAAGCAGTCATTCCTTTTTCCTCAACCTTTCTATTGGATGCCCTGATTTTCGAGAAAAACTCGTTCTTGATTTGAAAATGTTGACTATTTAATTGTCGCATCATCTGTCTCAACTGTCCTTCACAGCTGTTTATAATGCAAAGTGCAGAACCTTGCGATCAGTAACGATGTTATGAGAAGTGACATCTTTCCGATATTCACATGAAATCGCGTTCGTACCAGCACATCGATCGGGCGCAATTTGTTTTTTGCTGACGTGGCGTAGGGAATGCATATGAGAATGTCAATGTCTTTTGCAGCGCTGCTTGCAGGAGACGTTGAATCGATTGGGAACAAAGTAGCTGATGCAAAAGCAAACACTTGCCTTGCAGTAGTCTGGCAAGCAACAGATGTTTGGTCGAAGTGGTTTTCCAGATAAAATGCCTAGTCTTTCGCAGGTCATGAAACGGCAGCAAATTTTCTTCTGTATCTGCGAAGCGTTCGCGTCCGTGGAACGACTTCAAAGCGAAAACATAAAATGATAAAATTCATCCACAGGTGCCGTTGCTTCCTTGTGTGATTTACTCAAGAACGGCTCAGAATTCAGCCTGTGGCTACGCTACAGACGACGTGAAAATGGAGGAATTAGGTTGACGATGCAGAATCCTACAACATCATCTTTGTAATCTCACATCACACTGGAAAACTTCTGGACAGTCTACTCTGGTTTAAGCTTTGAAACCAGATATAAAAATTCATACACTTTTGATCATGCTTAGGACCTTAGATTGTTTCAAGTGGCGCCTGCAGCTTGTGAGGTGCTTGTCACTCTTTCATTAATCTGTAACACTTCATTTATTCTGTGATAGAGCTCCCTGACTCATTATTTTTCATTCAAGCACCAGAGGCCGTATTCATTATTGATACCTTGAGGTAAATTCAATTCCAGGTAGTTTTATCACTCATTATCAGTGATAAAACTATATGATAATGAGTGATAAAATAAAACTATCTGGAAGTAGGATTTACCTCAAAGTATCTGATGAATACGAAAACTTATTGTTAGAAAACTCAGAAAACTTTTGAATGTCATCATGGTCGCGATTTTTCCCTTCAATATTCAGCTCCAACAATGTCTGGATGGAGGTGTTCCGCAGAGATTAGACAGACATCTATAGAGTTTAAAGGCTTTGAACCTTGCGAAGTGAGCAAGATACGGTAGAAGAAGTACATGTTGAATAATTGGGCCGCTCTGAAAGTTCCTCCCGTTTTTTTAGCTGTTATAAGAACACGTGTTAATGATAGGCGAACGTGCCAAGAACTGTTCGGCTCAGCCTTTCTCTTTTCAGCAGTCATATTTACGAAGTGATTGCTAACAATCGCAGAAATTTCGAGCCTTTTTACCATGCACGGTGGCAGTTTTGCAGATGTTTTGTTCTGAACTTTTGGAAGAGATTTGAGGCCGATGGATAGAGTAATCATAGTCAATGAAATAACTTTTTCAACATCTCCATATTGATTTTTGAAATATTGATATCATTAAATTCCATACTTGGTCATCGCAAACATTGTGGAACATTTCAAAGCAAAAGAGTCTGAGCAGTCTTTGTAGTTTGGTTAGATTGAACATTTATTTTTGGTTCAATTTAGTACACAACAACATGTATGATAAGAGTTTCTGTAGAGTCTCTGTTTCTGATAAGTAATAGAGTTTATAAGTGAAATAAAGAGTTTGAAAAAAATTGAAATCACTACTATTTGGAGAACCACTTAGCCCAGATTTAGGTGTTAAGAGTTTGCGAAAAGTTTACAAATAGAGATTAGATTCTATCGGTCTTCCCAACTTTTTAGAAAATCACGATTTTGTTGAAATATTTCTCTTCATTAGCTCATGCCAATATTTCAACATCGATGCTTTGAGCGCTATGACGCTATGACAAAGCGCATATTTTCTTCTTTAAAGTATCGAATCGAAAAAATTTCAAAGCGGGGGAGCTTAAAGTGTTTTGAAATTTTGATGCAAGACACATGACCATAACGAGCTCAGAATATCATACCAAGTGAAACATGTTACCCATCAGACTAATTTCTCAAGCTTCAGACTTCCATCAAAATCCGATTGAAGACTAAAGCTTAGAAAGCCGAAATTCAATCCGTGAAAATCGAGCTTTTGAAGAAGAGGTAGTGAAATGATATCATTTGCTTCATACAAAAAGCACCACGTGTTTATAACATCATTCTTTTTTCCTTGAAGATGTATCTGCTGTTATCCGGATGACGATTGGCGTGAGGTACCAGAAGATTTGGTTGTAACCTGCTAGATTTCCGGTATCGCTCCCTGCCTCCCCCAGTTGCCCTAAGTGGTCTGACGTAGCACATGACCATTGACCTAGTCACCTATCGCACTTCCTTCGGTGACTGCGTATGTTTCCCCTTGGGTAACTGCTCACAAATGAAATATGTGAATCATGAGATCGCATTAGATAGTAAAGTTTTGAGTCATCTTTATTAGCGCTTGCTTTTGCATTAGAAGGGAAACCCCGAGGCTTAAAAAGCGTGTGAGCGGAGAACGCTCAAGCCGCTTTTTTGCACCGGGAGGGGGCGGAGTTTGCGCTTGCGGCTTCGATTTATATGTTCACAGCGCAGCTGTTTCGCCTGTACTTTGCGGTTGATGGCATCAGTGACCGGTTACCCTACATTTCATGTTCATCCATTTTATTAATCGTTATGAACGTTAGCTTACAGTCAAGACGAGGCTTGCTTGACACTGGTATATTATCTGCATCCCTTCATATTTTGCAAGTTTTAAGACTTGGAACTTTGCGGGGCTCCAAATTCTAAATTTGTAGTGAATTTCAGCCTTCATTTTTCATCTTCAATCCTCGAATTGTCTTCTCTTAGCTGCTATTTTTTATTGAGATTAAGCTGCCATTTCGGAAGTCACTGACTCTATTTTCATTTTGAGCGTTCGAAGATACGCCTTCTCCTAAAATTCAAAGCTTCAGAGTCTGATCGTTTTACTTACAGCGCTCACCGATCGATATGGAAGCTAAAATGCTTTACGAAGAAGCCTGTACAGGCTGCCGACGATGCCGTCCTCCTGTAGTTTTTGAGCCACCTGCATGGCGATGGTGGCATATTCTCACAGGCCCACCACGATATCAGGAACCGGAAGGTTGGCAACCTGTCCATTTTTTTAGAATTTATGGTTTCGATCATTTCAGCGACGAAAGACTATTCTAATGTTGTAAATGAGAAGTGTGGGCAAGTGAATGAAGTAGATCTGAAAGGCACCGATCTGTTGATAGAAAATAATTTGCAAGAGGTGAGCTACGTGAGATTTTGCTATCATCAACAGCATTTATCAAATTGGTCAGGTGTTTGAATGCCAAATGGTGCAGTTCTTATAATTTGCGTCTATGTGCAGGCTTTGCAGTCAAGAATGATGTTTACTGCTTCAATCAAAGCAAAACAGGGGCAGTTGATTTGTGGCAGTGCTGGCATTTTGTATTTTGTAGCATACAAAGCAGAAAAGTGTGTCACCATTTAGAAATGCACGAATGGGGTTTCCCTGACAATGAGACAGGGCCAGATTAGTTTTTATCAGATGGATTGATCATACGAACGCTAAGACGTTCTCTAATCCTTCCCGCACAATAAGGAATTAATGTTTGACTAGTCGATTTATCGGTATTGTGGTTTCTCTTTCTAAGAAATGATGCAATATGTCGAATCGTGACATTTACAGATTCTGCTGACTTCCATAAAATTCATAAGCTGACTTTTTCCAACGGTAAAAGATAAGCAGTATTTTTAGAAACTGTCTTCTACACAGATTGACAGATTCACATACGCAAGCATTTTTAGCGTTTGTAAAAACTAGTTGCAAGAAATAAAAAAGGGTGGAAAAGAAGTGAAGGTTGATATAGGCAAATGCAAAAAGTGATAGTATAGTTGGATGGTTATCATTTTTTGCATCAGTTCCAGCGTGTGATTGATTGTTGCTAATCTACGAAACGAAAATGCTCGAATTCAGCGAAAAAAATCTTTGAAAAATGAAAAATTCAAAAACGTAAAGCATTCTGTGAAATACTTCTATTCCAATTTTCCAGAATTTCTTATATAAACTCTATGGTGTAAAACCTGCAGAAATTGTGGTTCCTTTTGTCCGTTTTGAGCCTAATTTCTTTATTATAGGATTCATCTTGCCTACGTGTACGTATGGGAGGAACGGAAGCTGGTCGAAGTGGTGTAATTGCGGATGGCTGGAAGCGATGTTCAGCAAATCGCGTAGGAACTAGTAACAATGACGAATTCTATACCACTGACCTACTAGCGAAAGCAATAACCCTCACTTTCGTCAAAATACCAGTGAGTTTTGCCCGCTTCGCGTTTCTGATAAGACTTTATTCCTGATGATTCATCGCTTTTCCGCTTTCAGGAATTCATTCATAGACTCTACGTGTCAAGTGATCGATTAGATGAGAAATTGGATGGTAAAAAAATCAACATCAAAAGTACAGACCGAAAACTTGAGATGTATTTGCCGAATGCGATCCGTTTCGATATCGATTCTCTATAGGAGTCGCTTTTTCTGCAATTAATAAATAGAGTTTAGTTTTGCTGAGTATGGAGACTGTTGGCCAGTCATCAGCATGCGATAGTTTATTGTAGCCTTTAATTTCAGCTAATCATAGGTTTTGGTAATTTTTCTAAACGCAGTCAGGTTCTGTTGTAATACGAGGTTGTCTATGAATAAGCCTAATGCATTTTGTCAAGCTCTTAAAAATATTGGTTATGAAATTTTGAATTTTTAGCAAGGAAATTTTTCAATTGGCCTGCAGTCATTGCTCATTTGCATTCTTTCGTCTCCGTTTTTATAGGATGATTTTGTGCTATGTGGTTACTGTTTGATTTCTGTTGTTGTTCTGTGGTCCATTCCTTCGCCTAAATGATAAATGATAAGAATTAAGAGTACAGCGCAACGTTTACGTCAATGGTTTGCCACTGCCTTGTGTTAAACTTCCGACTTCAGATTCCTTCTGAAAAAGTTCAATACTGCGGTAATCTGCTTCATTTTTAGAAGTTATCGGCTCACAACTTTTTTGAAAGGACTTTTTTGCCCCTAAGTTATACTGCATAAGTTCGCCCTCCAAACTTCTTCCGGCTTGTTCGAAGAAAGTGGTAAGTGATAATATCGTCATGCTAAATAGGGAAGTATTAGGTTGGAAACTAAGTTTTGCAACTCATTCAATAACTTTTCTCTCACAACATGGCGCACTCAAATTTTGCCACTATGTTGGTTATGACGTAAGCTACAAGCGCAGCTGCTGTTCTGCCAAATTCTGACGTCGCAGTGAGGTTACGGTAGTATATGGTACGAAGGGAAAAATTATAAAACTCGATAGATTCGGCTAAAACTTGGCATAGGGGGTTATCCGACATGCTGATCACGAGAGCAATACTGAAGTTGCGCGATAAGGGCTTTTTTGTAAGGTTACTGTAGGTGTACGATATAGGGTTCCCCCCTAAACAAGGAAAGAGGCGTTGATTCAGCAAATAAATATGATATTCGTGTCTAGCAGGTCGAAGAACCTTGATATGTAAAGACTCGAGGAATTTCGTGGTTCTAACTCCTTAGTCATTGACGGTTGTCCCTAGCAGCCTTGCCTACAGCAACTGTTTCGAAATTAAAAGGGCGCCAAATCTCGACTTGGCCCTAAATTTTATCTTTTTTGGATGAGCCGAATAAATCAACCTCTAGCAACAATAAGCACACGATTCAGGATGATTGCGCATGGTTTAGACTGCTAACAATTTCATTTTGCCTCAAAAGCCCAAAAATTCTCAAAATTCACTAGTTTTCGAAAAATGCCTGAAAATTTTCCAATTCGTTTTCAAAGTTCAAGCAACTTTGGTCAGTTGTAGTCCACACTACGCTGTACATATTGCCCAAGTTTGAGTGCGCTACATCCAAAGGAGTTGAGTTATGAAAGCAGTTGCAAAACTTAGTTTCCAGCCTAATATACCAACTAATCGTATGTCAAGTAGCATACTACGCACACTAACGAAATGGAGTGAAATGCATACTATTAGGCATTTCGATGAGCTAATTAAATCTGCTTTTGTGAATCTGTTGTAACTGTATTCATTAAAATATTTTCTTAAAAAGGTATGAGCGTTTAAAATCCGAATTTGGCAAGCATTTAGCAATATACGTTCGAGCAGCTAAAAAAACTTTCATGACGAATGCATTTTTTTTCTTCTAGTCAGTTATCACCATTTGAATGGACTTCTCTGATGTTAAACTATGAAGCAAAATGATGTTAAGAACGCAATGAGTTCACCATTTTTAAACGAGTTTTCAGCACATAACAAATGTAAATTTCTAAGTTGTCGAACATGCTTTTGGTGATACATACCTCGTCAAAATCAATCAGTGTGACGTTTTCCGTGTAAGTTTTTCAATGTGCAAGTTCATGCAAGGTCTAATTCTTTCCACACGAGTGGAACTGTGGCCCGAGAATGCGATCAAAACTTTGAAAATGAGATCTTTGCAAAAGTTCACGGCTGGAGTCACCCGGTTGGCTACCAACCACAAAATACCTGTACTAAAAGCTTACAAATCGAACGCATATTTATATTTTCGTTATTCTCCCTTATTTCTTTGCAGACACACATTCTGTTGGGATAGCTGTCCGTACGCTGTAAACGGGCTGTTTATCATTATCGTTTATCATTTTGTGCACAGAAATTCTTTCTATATCGCGCTCGACGAGGTTACATTCGAAGGAAAAATCGTAGAAACTTTCACGACGATTCCATATTACCTTCCCATTGCTTTCTCTTGAGGAAAAAAAATCAATATTTCTTCGCAAAAAGCGTCGCTGGAAAACTCCATATTTTCGATTTAGAATCATCAATGGGGGCTCTCCGAAATTCCTCAAAAGGGACCCAACCGGTGCTCGCTTTGGGTCGGTGAATCTAACCACGTGATAATAAATAAAAGTTATGACATTCTTAAGTGAAGCACAGATTATGATGGAAAATTCTAAGAAAACGGGTTGTACTCTATTTGCGCTTCGCTGAGTCACAGCTAAGCTCTTAAAGGCACCATCCAGATTCCCGACTTCCATGTTTTGGTCGTTCCATGGCCTTCTCATGTCCCTGATCCCGAATATGAAGTCGAGAATCCGCGAACGAAAACTTCGACAATCCCCGTTGAGGAGAAACCGGGGGCCGCTTCTCCGGGCTGTGATTGGATGGGCGCGCACAGATGGGCGGCCATTACTGGAGGAAGCGGTGCCGACTTGGGGTTCTCATGCCCTCTTCACTATTCCGAAGCGATTTCTCGTTTCCAAAGCGACATTTTGCGACGTCACTTGGGCATTGGACTGATAGAGGGTTCTAGTAGCTGCCAAAAGCTCAAGACCCGTAACCCAGGGTGGACAATGCCTTTATTGGAATCACTGACAAAGCCTCATCTTAAAATATAGCCAATCTAGAAATCCTATTGAGAAGCTTTGAAAGCTTATTATTGACCTTGCATACCATCGCTTTGCGATGATTCAAATGTAAATTTTTTGCTTCCTTATGTTAACTATGTTTTTCGCTCTGAACATTTTCCGTACACATTGCATGCAAATAAACCAGCTAAGTGGGCCGTCAAATACGTGCTTGTTTTCTGAACGCATTCAAATGGTGCTTCGATTCGTCTAATCGCTTTTTTATATGCAACAAATCAGATATTCAGCGATGGTGGTGGTGCGGTGACGACAAGCTATCGGAACGATTGCGCCGATGTATTCTGCTTGTTCGCAAATGGAAGCGATTAGAGGGCAGGCAAAAATCGAAAAAGGCCCAGAAGACTTGGTCTTATTGTTGGAAAATCGACGCTCCTATATCGAATGGAAGAATTTAAGGATGGGTTCCATAGCTCTTTAGACATGCAAGCAAGTTAGCCACTCATCTTTCCGATATCACTTTAGTCCGAGTCAAGGCTTTCATCAGCAGCTATTGTAATTGACTTCTTGTTCTTCCATAAAGAGGACACAATGTTGAGGCAAACCCTCTAGAGTAGACCATTCGATTTGCTCTCTGAAAGCTATTTGCACGAAGTATCTCGCCTGGATTGCCTTTTTATGCTTTGGATTCAGCAAGACTCGAAGGCAGTAGCTCGGCAAAATGGACCTTACCAGATTTTGGTACCTGTTAGAGTAGACTCTCCCCCCCCCCCCCCCCCAAGTACGCTGTGACCGACTTTCGATTCGTGGCGTAAATCCTAAAATCGTGCTTCAAACGATCTCGGAACTTAGCCCACGAACTTGAAAGTGGGGCTGGGGCTACGTTACGTACTTGAGGAGTCTACTATCTAATAGTACCAGAAATAGAAAGGTCTTCTCTACTGCCCACATTCGACTCGATTTACCCCTTCCCTCGTTGTGCTAAGAAAATTGCACTCAAAACGGCCCACAGGGCGCGATTTGGCCCGCACTGGCCTATTCGCCGCTTTCCTTACGTCCCCCTCCAGTCGTCGCCCACTTCTCGTCGTTGCTGCTCCTGTGGCGGAGACTAGGGTAAAAGGCACAAAGTCCGCGGGGCCTTCTGAATAACAGTGTGTTGCGGCATTTCATGCCCTTTGAACCCGTGTGGAATTAAACAGGTTCGGGGACTCCTTCAATATGCAAAAACGACAACCGGATCTTGATGTAGCACTGCCTTCAGCGGGTAAATGTGTCTCAGACTTTGATAAGATTTCAAAATTATGCACAAGCAATAGCTAAAGAATCACTTGGAACCTACGTAACTCCGTTTTAGGCTTTTTCAAAATCAGACACTATGTATTTACAGAGGGATAATGAAATTCATTACGATTTCATCAAAGTTTGCAGAATTACTATGCTGAAAAATAAACTATATTTCCAAGAAACTCCACTAAATTGACTCATTTCTTACAATATGGTCTGGCATTGTTTTCTTGCAACGTTCTACGGAAAATTGTTGATGCAGCTGTGATTGACTGTTCAGGACTTTTTGCGACATCGCTCAGAAAGATGGAAGTCTTGTTTTTCCATGATTATCAAGAAAAGACAAGACAGTTCGGAGAATTAAGCCTCATTGTTGCTCTACCAAAGAGACTAATATACAGCTTGACCTAAAAAATAAGGTTAAAAAAATCTTTTTTCCTTGACCTAAACCTTAACCTACAATACCGCTCACACTTTTTGAAAAAAAGACGCGAATGTATGGACATGTACGGACATGTCCATACATGTATGGACATGTCCGCACATGTCCGTACATGTCTGTATGGACATGTCCGCACATGTCCGTACATGTCCGTACATGTCCATACATGTATGGACATGTCCATACATCAGCGTCGCGTGGCCATATCTTGCTTCAGAGTGGACGAATTTTGAATACAAAACCACCATTCGATTCAGCTCGGCGCGGAGAATCTTCTGATATATAGGAAGTGGGGGTACGATGTTTACGATATTCCGTTTCCAGTTTTTTCAAATTGTTCTGCGGAGGTCATTTTGCGAATATGTGAAGCAACGGCTACCCAACATAGAAGACTTTGCTAAGAACTATTCGATAATACTGTTCTTGTAGATTATTGTCCTTTAAAAAATAGGCTCAGACTTCTTTCCAAAGGAGATAGAAGCGTTGGTGAATTTTGGAAAAATCACGCGTTTTTAAATTTTACTCGCCATAATTTCTTTCGGAGTAAGTATATTTTGAATCCGAAAACAGCGCCTTGCTCAATTCATCAAGGCGAATCTTTTTATATACAGCATGTCCTTGATATTTCGATTTCAGTATTCTTGAATCTTTCTGAGAACGTCTTTTCGCGAAGGTGTAAAGCAGCGAGCATTGCCTCGAGTAAAATTCAGCAAGGACCTTTCGACAGTACTTTTCCTGTAGATTATGATGTGCTAAATAGTAGCCGCAGATTTCTTTTTAAAGGAAATAGAACGGCTAGTGAATTGTGGAAAAATCTTGTCGTCCCAAGTTCTACTCTCCATAGCCCTAGAATACGAAGCTATCTCGCTAAGCGGATGTGAGCTTCGAAATCAGCAGGTCGCATAACCTCTACGAGCACGTTTTCCGATATGTTCGGGTTATTTCATTTTTTCTCGTTTCACGCTCCGGAAGCTTGCCGATGGATTTTGATCAAA